TCCAGGGGGTCACTGCGCTCTGACCTGCCATTAGGGCTGTAATAGTAACAGCGATATATCCCAGCACCACTGTCTGTCAGGCCTGTGATGCTGAACGTGCTCCTGTCCATCGGATGCAGTGGAATTGCTCCACATGTGGGAAATGTGCTTCCCTCTTTCTCAAAACAGAACTCTGTGGCCTCTCCAGTCCACTGACACCAGATGGTCACGGGGCTCCCCCAGGGCATCACAGAGGCTGGCTCAGCCCAGAGGGTGGGTTTGGGGAGGGTCCCTGGAAAGAAACCAGAGGCTGCATTACCAAGACCTTCCCCACCTTCATTTCCTAGCTTAGTGCTAGAACCTCCTCTTTTATCACCTCAACCCAGCACCTCTGTGCTCCCTCCTGAGCCCCAGGGGTGAAGTAAGAGGAGGGACATGGAGCCTGGGGAGGACTCACCTGCCTGCATGTGGATCCTCTGGTCCAGACTCAGCCCTGGAAGAGAGTGTCGGTGAGAGATTTGCACCCGGATGTCTGAGCTGATTCCCTTCCCATTAGAACCCCGTCCACTCAAGCTGCCTGAGCCTGAGGTTCCCCATGAACAAGAGGATGAAGCTGCCCCTCCTTCTCTACCTCCCCATGTCCACAACTAACCGAGGCAGAGAAGAGCAGAGAGGATGGACGCCATGGCGTCTGCTCTGAGGGCTCCTGCTCTGCAGATGGAGGAAGCCTAAGCCTGCAGAACAGTCTCACAGGATGTGACGTGTTAAAGGCTGTTGCAACCATTCGGGATTACCACAGGCCACAGCACGGAAACAGCCCCGACCTTGGCTCTGCATTTCCCCAGAATGAGGGCTCACGGGCGTCCAGGTTTCAGGAGGCTGGTCAGCAGTGTCTGAGGTCTCACCTGAGCCTCAGGGTCTCCTGTGTCTGCTGGTCTGACTCCTGCTCAGGGAGGGCGGGACCCAGGATCTCTCCCTGAGAGTCTGTCTCTTAACAGCCCAGTGGGACACCCAACCACAGCTCCTGAGGGAGCTCATTTATCAAAGACTCTGCTGAGCAGTTTCCCAGTGGCCTCAGCATTTCCTCAACTTTCCCTGGTTCAAGGGTCCTGGTGGGTTCCCATCCCTGCCCATCCTTTGAGTTTCCTGACTTTTTCATGTTCATTGTTCAGTGTAAGTATTGGTACCAACCCTGTGGTTTGATGCATATTTATTTCTTCAAGGACTTATAAAGCTCAGCACCTTTTATTTAAAAATTTGTCTTGTTACTCCTCACCTGAGGATATTATTTCCAAAGATTTTTAGAGAGGATGGAAGGGAGAGAGGGAAGGAGAGAGCGAGAGAGAAACATTGATGTGAGACACATGTCAATAGGTTGCATCCCACATGAGGGCCATGGTCAAACCTGCAACCAAGGCACATGCCCTTGACCTGGAAGCAAACCTGTGACTCTTCGGTGGTCAGGCTGATGTGCTAACACTGAGAAACACCAGCCAAGGCCAGCTTATCACCTTAAATAATGTCACTGCACATTTGCATGTCAATATCAGTTGCTTGTTAAGTTTTTGCTTGCTTCTCTATTGCTCTCTGCTGCCATATAACAACTTGTACATGTTTCCTAATGATCTGAATGCCTGTCCGTGGTCTCATTTTGCCATCGCAAATATCTATCGTCTTCACTCTTTGACTGGTGTCTATAAGGAGCAGAATTTCTTCATCTTAGTGGATTCCACTGTGTACATGTCCCCCCTAAGTTCATGTTCTTGTGTCCACATCGCAGGAAAATGAGTCTCCCACAAACTAGTAAGATAGTTCCCCACTTTTCGCAAAAGAAAAAGTAATTGGTTATTTTTCATGTTTTGATCCGTCGCCCATCTGACATTGATTATTGTAAATGGTGTGAGGCAGGTAAGACGTTCACTGTGTCCCGCAGACTCACCCACTGGCCCAGCACCACCTGATGGAAAGGCCATGACCTCCCCGCAGCCCAGCAAAGGTCTGTCATGATCGAGGTGACTCCACGCGAGCGGTCTGACCTGGAGTCTTCCTTCTGCTTTTTTGGACAAGGCATGTCTGCTTTTCAATTTCTCAAAACACCACCATCTCCATCTGCATTGAATGGCTGGTTTCGTTTCCTCCATATCTCAGGCCAGAAAAATTCTCATCATCTTTGTGCGGGAGACTTTTGTTTTGCTGAGAAGTCAAGGGAGGAAGTAGCCTGCTTAAACACTGCACACTCACACGTACACACCTACTGACACATATATAGGCCCATTCAAACACACACAATACATACACTCACACCCCAAACACAAAAATACACCTTACACACACACACACACACACACACACACACACACACACACACAACTCTCAAACATTCACATATATATTCATACAGCCCACACATATATAGACTCACCCACACTCACACACACATACACATTTATGCAAACACTTATACTCTCACACATATGCTCACAGACATAAACACACACGAACACACATGGTTTTTCCTTTTTTCATTTCATAGGTTTGATGTGTAGTATTTACATTATCATTTAATCTAAAAAATTCACTTCTGTTTTGGTTCACACATTGATTATTGCCAAGTCTGTTGATTTATTTCCAAAATGTAAGGAATACATTTTGAAAATAAATGTATTCTTTTTTGGTCTAGGAGGTTAGAGAGGAGGGAACTGTGTTCAGATGGGCTCAGGGGGCCCCGTGGGGGGCCATGATGTGGTCCTAACCCAGGTTGTGGGGCAGGGAGGGGAGGCGGTTCACTGGATGAGTTAGGTTGGAGGAGGCATTGGCTTCACTCGGGCTGGAGAGTGTAGCTCAGCCTGATCCTCAGTAGCATGGACTGCTGGGTGGAGATCCTGGATGTGGCTGGAGTCAGGGGGACCTGTGGACCGGCTTTGTGCAGGGGATGGTCGGTGACAGGGACGTTTGGGACCATGAGAATGAAACACCTGAGCCAAGACTGAGGGTCTGGAGGAGGCCAGAAGGAGGCTGATGGGGTCACACCAACGAGCTGTCCTGGGTCTTCACCTGAGCTTGTCTGTGGGGAGAACTGGGTAACAGAAAGGAGAACTGAGAGCCAGAACGCTGGGATTGGTTCAGTGTGTGAGAGAGAAAGGGGAGAATGGAGGGCTCGTCCTCTCTCCACCATGACTGCCTACAGGAGCCAATGAGGCTGTATCCAGTTTGCTGACCCCAAGAGGAACAGGAGGCCTGGGGGATGTTACAAAACTGTCAATCACCCACAGAGGCAACCAGCACTGCCCTCCAGGCCTGGGTGTGGGCTTCTGCTTCTCCTTATCACTTCCTCTCTCTGACTTCCTTGTCTCTGTGAGCAGAGCTCCTGCTCTCCATCCCTCTTCATCAAACCTTTGCAGTCCTTTTTGCCTCCTCACCGACTCTTGTCCCCCAGACTGTACCTCTTTGTCTAATGCTGTTTATTCCATCTCCATGCTTTGGGTAGAAGAGCGTGTTGGAGACAATTCCCAGGTTGTAATCTAAGACCTGGAGACACGTTTATTGACCCTCTCTTTTGAGCCAGTCTCTTGTCCTCTTCCTCTTTGCCTGTTGGGCAAAATTGTAAAACCTCTATTCTGAGGGTTGTTATGAGGTCAGCAGTGCCTGAGACATGAAGAGCACCAATCGGTTGTTAATTTCTTTCTTTTTGAAAAAAGTATATTTTTATTGATTTCAGAAAGGAAGGGAGCGGGAGAGAGAGATAGAAACATCAATGATAAGAGAGAATCATTGATCGGGCGCCTCCTGCAAGCCCCACACTGAGGATGGAATCCACAACCCAGGCATGTGCCATGACCTGGAATCCAACCATGACCTCCTGAGGTCAACACTCAACCACTGAGCCACAACTGCCAGAAATCTGCTGTCATTTTCAGACCTGATGAAGCCGTGTGTATGGGAGGCATGTGGTGGGAAGGGATATTCGGAGGCCACATGTGTGTCCCCCAAGCCTACAAGGTGAATCAGAAGCTGTAGTGCATCCTTGGTTGAATGGCAGTTGAGCGCAGATACAAGTATTCGGGGATGGTGGGTCTCATTTTGGAACCTAGACTCAGCCCAAGTCAGGAGTGAAGGTGGAAATTTAATGAGTGGATTGGTCCCTAAGCACTTAGGGCACCTCTGACCTGGTGGGAGTCCTGCTTCCCATAAAACTCCATGGACACAAGTGGGGAAACCTACAGGGTATAAGGCAGCTGTAGGGAACCACGTGTGTTTCACTTGCATTTCTTTTTATTGAAGCAATAGTCACATAACATACAATTGAGCCTTTTGAAATATGAAATTCACTAGAATGCAGTTAATACACAATGCCTCAATGACAACATCTATCTTATTTCAAGAAAGTTTTAAACGCCCCCCCCAAAAAAAAATACAAACAAACAAAACAACACCAACAACAAACAGTCCGTCTCCCATCTGTCCTCCTGGTCAACCCCAGACAAACCAATCTGATTTCTGTCTCTATGGGTTTCCTTCTCCTGGACATTTTGAATAAAAGGAATCACACAAAACCTGATTCCATTTTGTGTCCCGATTCTGTCCCTGAGCTGCATTATTATGAGGTTTTCCCACTATGGACCAGGTACCCGTCCTTTGTTCTTTATGGTTTAAACAAACCCCAGGGTTGTAGAGATACCTCATTTTGTTGGGATGGATGTGGCTCAGCATGAAGGTATATAGATGTGAATCCAAACCAGCCATATGGGTCGGAACATTGTCTCATGTCACAGGGTGAGAACAGAAGGGCAGTGGAGGAGAGTCAGCGAGGACAGGGAGGGAGGGAGAGCACCCAAGTGGATGGAGGAGGACATGGCCCACGTTCTCCTGCACCCAGACCTCACCTACCACCTCTACTTCCCTGGACATTCTCAACAGACAGATTGCCAACTTTGGTCCACACTTTCCTTCAGCACCTCCTGGGATCCTCAGATGGGCTCCAAGGCTCCCCCTCTCTGAATGGTGCGTTGGTCCCTCTGTGTTCACATCCTGGCTGCATCGAGGGTCCTTATCGGGTTCTTTCGAGCCTCAAATAGCAGCACCCCCAGGACCACCAGGATCAAGCCAGCCACGCCCATCCGGATGAGATTCTCCACTGTGTAGTCTTGGGGATGGAAAAATATGAAATATGGGTAAAGAAGTCTCAGAGGTCAGGGTAGACACAAATCTCCAGGATTTTGATGTTCAACCTGGGCTCCCACCTCCCCTTGACATCAGTGTCCCTCTGATGTCTGAACTCAGCACCTGCTCAGACTCACCTTGATCAGAGTTAGCTGTGCCCAAGAACTGAGGATGAGTAAGAAATGGTCTCAGTTCAGAAATAACAATGAGCTCTGTGTTCTGTGTTCAGTCTGTGGATCAAGTCCCCATGAGCTAATTCCCCTACAGCTGAGAGATCCCAACTTCTCAACAGCTGGGGAACCAGGGTCCATGGAGGAGGGGTTGGTGTCAGGGGCTCCTGAATCTCAGGAGCACGAAGGGGTGAAAGTCTGGGCTGGGTCTCCTTCACCCCAACCCACCCAGGCCCCTCCTCTCATGGGTCTGCTATGTCCATTGACCAAGGCCACATAGACTCTTGTCCAGTACCATTTGGGACCTAGAACATTAGTGACGTCATGAATGAACCAGTGATGCCATTTAATGAGCACCTACTGTGTGAGAGGCACATGCTGGGGTCTGTTACTCATCTCCTCTTACCTCACAGCAGTCATGCACCAGGATTGTTGACCCCACAACCAACTTCACTGAGGCTCAGAGAGATTAATCACATGCCCCAGGCAGGATAGTGGGATAGAAACCCGGGGCTGTGAGTTCCCTGTGCTGTCGTCATGCTCCCCTCCCCTGCCACCTCCCAGGTGGACATCAGCTTTGTGATCTGGCTCCCCTTCTGCAGGGGCCTGCCCATGTCTCATATGGTGCTGAGGGTCCTTCCTCATTACCTGCCCCCAGCACAGCAGGGACTGAGAGGGGGAGGTTGTGGGGTGGACTCTGAGTCTTTCATGGATCCCCCTCCACCCACATGCCTCTGACAGCTCCCTAGGAAGATCGGGCTGGGCTGGGGCTCTGCCTTCCCGAGCTCTGTGAGGCCCTTATGTCACCTCATCTCCCAGCAGCCTGTGAGCAGGATGGGACCAGGGATGAGCAGACAGGAACCCAACACTCAGAGGAGAGAAGGGGCCGCCCAGCCCCACAGCAGGAGCAGCAGAGCCAGGAGCTGAGCCAGGGTTGATCCACCCTGTTCCCTCCTCTGAGCTGAGCCTGAGCTGAGGGGTAGGAACTGGATGCCTGGACCTTTATCCTGCCTGTCCCTCCCTGTACAGTGTCACCGTCACTGAGACAGAGGGGACAGGCCCCCGTAACATCACGTCCTGGGGGCTTCCCTGTGAGGCCCCTCTCCCAGGAGGTCAGGGCCAGAACCGATAGAAAATGTAAGATCTGGACAAGGATTCTCTCCTTTTACACTGGGAGACACAGAGGCACAGACAGGAGAAGGGTGAGTCCAAGTCAGCAAATCCAGAAGGGCCTGGACCCCCGCATAGCTCAGCCCCTTTCCCCCATGGAGGCATTCACCACCTTCCCACAGAGCCCCTCACACACCGTGGGTCGGAGAGAATGATGCTCAGAGCCTCCTGGGTTCAGGATGACAGGTGTGGGGTGGGGGCTGCCTTCTCCCACATGAGCCCAGCTCCTCCCCAGCCTGGGCCCCCACATCTCCCTCTGCCATGACCACTCCACCCATCACCAGCCTCAGACCCTGGGACACAAGCCCGTCCTTGAGGATCTGGGTCACTCGATCCCCTGACAGACTCTCAGGACTTGCTGGGTGGGCTGTGCTCGCTCTGAGCAGAGCTCCCCGGGACTCACCAGCTGTGGAGGTGGGCCCTGTGGGTGAGGGCCTGGGGCCTCCAGAGGGTCCTGGAAATGAGGACAGGAAGAGGGTGAGAGGCTTTGGCTGATCCTGGAACCCATTTCACACAGACACCCTCTTACATCTGTGCTGTGGCCCCTGAGGCCCTCCCACTGCTTCAGTATCCAGGTGAGGAAGAGGGGGTCGATGGGGTGGGAAGGCCTCTAAGGAAAAGATCTCCTAGGGGTGACTATCCTAAGAGCCCCTCACTCCCTTTCAGCCGTTAACCCTTACGGGGAAAGTTCTCTGAGTTGACAGCTCAGCAGACAGGGTCAGGGGCCCTCACCTGAGACCAGGAGCTCCAGGGGCTCACTGGGGAGTGACAGCAGGAAGGGGGAGGTGCTGTGTGAGCTGTAGCACCTGTAGGTGCCCCCGTGGGCTGAGGTCACAGGACTCATGGAGAACTCCGCCTGGTACTGCCCAGCTCGGTGCTTTGATCTCAGACGCAGGAGGGGATCGGCTGCCCCCTCCTTGGACAGAAGGAAAGTGTCCCTCAGGCTCTGTGACTGACACAGCAGGGTCACGTTCTCTCCTGAGGCCACCCTGGGGCCTGGCTGCACTGAGAAGGAGGGTCTGTCAGGCAGGTGTCCTAGAGAGAGAAAGGGAGGGAGGGTGAGGACTGCCAGCCCAGCTTGTTCTGCCCAGAGAGTCACCATGCCTCTCTCTGAGGACCCACACCTCTGTCTGTCTCTGTATATCTGAGTGTCCCGCCCTCCCCTCCCACCCACCTGCCTCACTCTGTCTCTCCCCCTCCCTGGGGGCCCTGTACTTTCATTCTGGCTTCATCACCTGAGACCCCCAACAGGGCCTGTGCAAAGTCTGGGACCCTGACTGAACCCACTGGCTCCTCACCTGCCACCAGGATGTCCAGGGGGTCACTGGGTGCCGACCACTCAGAGGAGAGGTTGTATCCACCGTAGCATCTGTACCGGCCCCCGTGGGAGCTGCTCACAGTGTCCAGGGAGAAGTTGGCCTGAGCAAGCCCAGCCTGGGGCTGCAGGACTAGGCTCTGGGGAAGGTCCCGTCCCCGCTCCTTGTGCAGAGCGAATCTGTCATAGCCGACATCAGAGCGACACTGGAGGGTCAGGTTCTGTCCAGAGGCCACGATGGGGCCCTGCTGGGTCAGGAGGGAGGGCTTCCCAGACTCACCTGAGGAGACCAGACAAGAGTTACAGGGGCTGCTCTTCCCATAAACCCCATTCTCCTGGACCCCAGGTCTCCCTGTCTCGCTGTCTCTGACCCAGGATCCTCTGTGCTCCCCTCACCCAACTTTTTCACATGGGCCTCCCCTCACAGCAAAGATGCCAAAAACTTGGCTGGTAGCTCAGTCCATGGATGGAGCAATAATGGGACTCACCTGACACCAGGAGCTGCAGAGGGTCACTGGCTGGTGAACACACCTGAGGCGTGTTCCTGTAACAGCCATAGCATCTGAACCTCCACCTGTGTGTGGTGGTCATGGGGCCCACAGGGAACAGGGACTGGGACTGCCCCCTGGGCTGTAACTGGGAGTCCAGGGTCCAGGAGAGCCTGTGATCTCCTTCCTTAGTCAGAATGAACCTGTCAAATCCCTGCCTTGAGCCACACTGGAGGGTCACGTTCCCTCCTGAGGTCACGACAGGGCTGGGCAGGGCTGAGAGGCTGGGTTTGCTGTAGAATCCTAAGAGAGGAGGAGGCAGCATGTTAAATGGACTCACACCTCCCTCACGTCCCCCAGGGCTGGGCTGTGAGAGGGAGACAGCCTGAAAGCAGACCCACTTCCTGAGGGCAGAGCCTGAGGCTGGGATCCCTGAGTGTCCTCTCACCTGTCACCACCACCAGCTCCAGGGGGTCACTGGGTTCTGACCAGCCATCAGGGCTGCGATAGTAACAGCGATATATCCCCGCATCACGCTCTGTCATGTGTGGGATGGAGAACATCACCTTGTCCCCAAGCTTCAGTGGCTTCTCTCTTTTCCATGGTGCTGGACTTCCCGAATTCTCCAGATGGTACTCCGAGGCCCCTGAGGTCCCCTGACAGGAGATAGTCAGGGGGCTCCCCCAGGGGGTCACAGGGCCTGGCTCAGCCCAGAGGGTGGGTTTGGGGAAGGTCCCTGGAGAAAACAAAAGGCTACATTACAAAGGCCTTCCCCACCTCATCCCACAGCTCAGCCCAAGACACTCTTATTGTATTTCTTCCATCCTAGCCTCACCTCTCCTGGGGACAGGGCCCTGAATGACTGAGCTCAGAAAGCACAAGGTCAGGATAATCATCTGACACCAGGAGCTCCAGGGGCTCACTGGGGAGTGACAGCAGGAAGGGAGAGGAGCTGTGTGAGCTGTAGCACCTGTAGGTGTCCCTTTGGGCTGAGGTCACAGGACTCATGGAGAACTCCGCCTGGAACTGCTGAGCTCGGTGCTTTGATATCAGATGCAGGGGGACATTGGGTGCCCCTCCTTGTACAGAAGGAATGTGTCCCTCTAGCTCTGTGACTGACACATCAGGGTCATGTTCTCTCCTGAGGCCACCCTGAAACCCGGCTGCACGGAGAGGGAGGGCCAGTCAGGCAGGTGTCTTCGAGAGAGGGACGGAGGGTGAGTGCTGCCTGCCCACCTTGTTCTGCCCTGAGAGTCACCAGGCCTCTCTCTGAGGACCCTCCTCTCTGTCTGTCTCTGTTTCTCTGAGTCTCCCAACTCCCCTCTCACCCCCCTCTCTCTCTGTCTCTCTCCCTCCTTGGGACCCTGTACCTTCATTCTGGCCTCACCACCTGAGACCCCCAGCAGGGGCTTTGCAATGTCAGGGCCCCTGAGTGAACCCACTGGTTCCTCATTTGCCATGAGGATGTCTCGGGGGGGGGGAGGGGTCTTACTGGGCCAAACACTCAAAGAAAAGGTTGTTCCTACTCTAGCATAGGTACCCCCCCCGCACTGTCAGCCTCTCTGAGTGTCCAGGGGGAAGTGGGCCTGAGAGAGCCCAGCCTGGGGCTGCAGGACAAGGCTCTAGGGGAGGTCCCGTCCCCCCTCTTTGGACAGAGTGAATCTGTCATAGCCGACATCAGAGCGACACTGGAGGGTCAGGCTCTGTCCAGAGGCCACGATGGGACCCTGCTGGCTCAGGAGGGAGGGCTTCCCAGACTCACCTGGGGAGATGAGACATGAATTACAGGGGCTGCTTTTCCCATAAACCCCTTCTCCTGGCCTGGCCATCAGGTCTCACTGTCTTTCTCTGTGACTCAGACCCAGGAGCCCTTGTGCTCCCCTCACCCTCTCATATGGGGCTGCACTCAAATTAATGACCCTAATAACACCCCAGTATTTGTTGCCTGAATCAATGGAAGGGACAATAATGATCCTTACCTGACACCAGGAGCTCTAGGGGGTCACTCGGGTACGAACACACCTGGGAGCTGTTCCTGTAACAGCCACAGCATCTGAACCTCCACCTGTGAATGGGGGTCCGGGGGCCCACAGGGAACAGGGCCTGGGACCTCCCACTGGGCTGTGGCTGTAGTCCAGGGTCCAGGAGAGCCTGTGATCCCCTTCCTTAGTGAGAATGAACCTGTCAAATCCCTGCCCTGAACCACACTGGAGGGTCACCTTCCTTCCTGAGGTCAGGACAGGGCTGGGCAGGGCTGAGAGGCTGGGTTTGCTGTAGGATCCTAGGAGAGGAGGAGGCAACATGGTAAATGGGCTCACACCTCCCTCACGTCCCCCAGGGCTGGGCTGTGAGAGGGAGACACCCTGAGAGCAGACCCCCTTCCTGAGGGAACAACCTGAGATTGGGACCCCTGAGTGTCCTCTCACCTGTCACCACCAGCTCCAGGGGGTCACTGCACTCTGACCTGTCATGAGGGCTGATATAGTAACAGTCATATATCCCAGCATCAGGCTCTGTCAGGCTTGTGATGCTGAACGTGTCCTTGTCCATCGGATCTAGTGGTTTCACTCTGCCCCATAGCAATATGCTTCCCTCTTTGTGAAAACAGAACTCCTTTGGCCTCCAGGGTCCCCTGACACCAGATGGTCACGGGGCTCCCCCAGGACATCACAGAGGCTGGCTCAGCCCAGAAGGTGGGTTTGAGGAAAGTCCGTGGAAGGAAACCAGAGGCTGCATGACCAAGACCTTCCCCACCTTCATCTCCTAGCTTAGTGCTAGAACCTCCTCTTTATCACCTCAACCCAGCACCTCTGTGCTCCCTCCTGAGCCCCAGGAGTGAAGGAAGAGGAGGGACATGGAGCCTGGGGAGGACTCACCTGCCTGCACAAGGGTCCTCTGGTCCAGACTCAGCCCTGAAAAAGAGTCCCTGTGAGAGGTTGGCACCCAGACATCTGAGCTGATTCCCTTCCCATCAGTCCCCGGGTACTAGAGCTGCCTGAGCCTGAGGTTTCCCACGAACAAGAGGATGCAACTGCCCCTCCTTCTGCCCCTCCCCGTGTCCACAACTGACCGAGGCAGAGAAGAACAGAGAGGATGGACATCGTGGCGTCTGCTCTGAGGGCTTTTGCTCTGCAGATGGAGGAAGCCTGGGCCTGCAGAACAGAGTGTCACAGGATGTGACGAGTTAAAGGCTGTTGCAACCCTTTGGGGTTACCACACCCCCAGCAAGGTAAGCCCCGCCCTGAGCCTGGCTCCTCATCTCCCCAGAATGAGGGCTCACAGGGAGTCCAGGTTTCAGGAGGCTGGTCAGCAGTGTCTGAGCCTCAGGGTCTCTTCTGTCTGCTGGTCTGACTCCTACTCAGATATGGCGGGACCCAGGTTCTGGTCCTGACTCAGCCCCTGAGAGTCTGTCTCTGAACAGCCCAACGGGACACCCGACCACGGCTCTTGAGGGACCTCATTTATAAAAGACTCTGCTGAGCAGATTCCCAGAGGCCTCAGTATTTCCTCGACTTTCCCTGGTTCAAGGGTCCTGGTGGGTTTCCATCCCTGCCCACCCTTGTGTTTCCTGCCTTTTTCATGTTCATTATTCAGGGTAAGTATTGGTACCACCCTGTGGTTTGATGCACATTTGTTTCTTCAGTGAGTTATAAAGCTCAGCACCTTTTATTTAAGCATTTTTTGTTACTGCTCACCTGAGGATATTACATCCAATGATTTTTAGAGAGGATGGAAGGGAGAGAGGGAAGGAGAGAGAGAGAGAGAAAAACATCAATGTGAGAGAGATACATCAATTGCTTGCATCCCTACGAGGGTTGAGGAGCAAACCTGCAACCAAGACGCATGCCCTTGACCTGGAAGCAAACCTGTGACCCTTTGGTGGTCAGGCTGATGCTCTAACCACTGAGAAATACCAGCCAAGGCAGCTCGTCACGTTTACATAATGTCAATGCACATATGCATGTCAATATCAGTTGCTTGTTAAGTTTTTGCTTGCTTTTCTATTGCTCTCTGCTGCCACATAACAACTTGTACATATTTCCTAATGATCTGAATGTCAGTCCGTGGTCTCATTTTGGCATCTCAAATATCTACCATCTTCACTGTCTCGCTGGTGTTTACAAAGAACAGCAGTTCTTCATCTTAGTGGATTCCACTGTGTCCATGACCCCCTAAGTTAGTGTTCTTGTGTCCAGATCACGGGAAAATGTGTATCCCACAAACTAATAAGATAGTTCCCCCCTTTTCTTTTCTCAAAAGAAAAAGTAATTGGTTTCTTTTTCTCATATTGATCTGTCACCCTTTTGGCATTGCGTAAATGGTGGACGCAGGTAAGACGTTCACTGTGTGCCACAGACTCACTCAGTGGCCCAGCACCACCTGAAGGCCATGACCTCACCCCCCCCAGCCCAGCAAGGGTCTGTCATGATCCAGGTGCCTCCACACGAGGGGTCTGACCTGGAATCTTCCTTCTGCTCCTTTGGACGAGGCGTCTCTGCTTTTCAATTTCTCTAAACACCAACATCTCCATCTGCATTGAATGGCTGGTTTCGTTTCCTCCATATCTCAGGCCAGAAAAATTCTCACCATCTTTGTGGAGGAGGCTTTTGTTTTGCTGAGAAGTCAAGGGAGGAAGTAGCCTGCTCAAGTGTCCTTCAACCACTCAGATGGTAGTACCACAACTGATATTTAATATGTCTCTGTGTGTTATGTCTTGGAACAGGATTCCCATGAATCTTGTTTTGTCTGAATCCTGATGAGTCTCCATAGTTTGAAGAAGAGAGTGACACCCGACCTCAAAGGTGCTCTGAAGTGTCAGAAATGACTCAGATGATTGACCCCCATGAGATGGAGAGATCCCACTTCTCACATAGATAGAAATTCAGATGAAACCTGTGTGAGACGTAGGACCTGCGTCTCAGGGCCAGGAGGAGGTGCTGAGCTGCCCTGTGGGAGCAGATGCATCTTGCACAGCCCCCGGGCTCCTCCTTCCCCACCCCTGGGCTCACTGTCCTGAGGGCCCCTTGGTGTCCCCAGTCAACAAGGCAGGGAGGGAGGTCACCTTCACACACCCCAAGGCAGTGGTCACATCCACTTCCTTCCTGAGCTCTGAGCTCCACACCCTCACTCCCTTCTCCAGTTCACCCTCCACATCTGGCCTTGCAACTCCTTTTCAGAAGCTGTTTATACGTAAAACCTTCCATGGTCCTCACTGTCTTCAGGGTGAATCCACACTCTTCCTTCTGAACTCAAGGCTGATCATGATCATCCAGATGTGACCCTCCCACCTCAGCTCTCACTTCTACTTCCCTCAGACAGATGGGTATAGCTGCCCATGAACATACACACACTCACAGACACACACACTATTACACATACATTCTCACACACATATATACTCACACTCATATACCTGGATACTTACACACACATAAGCATACATATTTAACCACTCTTAGATACATACACTCACACATACACAGTCACATTCATATATGTTCACACAGGCTCACACACACTCATGTCTACATACTGTTACACACATATTCACTCATACACACATATCCACTCTCATTACTAGTCACACAACTCTTACAGAGATAAATGATCACAAACATACATACTCAGACACTCACACACATATACATTCACACACATGTACACAGTCACACTAAAACACCAGAACACATATACACTCAAACACTACACACTCACACATACACACCTACTGACACATATGTAGGCCCATTCAAACACACACAATACATACACTCACATCCAAAACACACAAATCCACCTTCACACACACACACACACACACACCTCTCAAACATTCACATATATATATTCATACAGCCCACACATATATAGACTCACCCACACTCACACACACATA